TGATTCCCGGACTGTCCGTGGGCCGGATTGAGAAGGCGATTGGGCCGCATCCAGCCCCCAGGCCTTAGTTTGCCTACTCATGCTCTAACCTCTGCACCATCCTGGCTCTTAAGGTACCCAGACACCTGCCTTCCTATTGGCATTTTTGCTTCCGTAGAAGAAAAAAAACCCAAATATCATTTATCCAAACCAAAAAGGAGATGCTCAGGGTAGGCACTGATTCATTCGGCTTTCACCGAGCAAAGCATTAAACAGCAGAGCCTGCAGCCTTCCTTTTGTTTCCCAGTACAGTGCTATGTAATGGGCCGATAAACCACACAGTTATTGTCTTTTCAGATGCCAACTGCTTTCTGCAGGGGATCAACAAGCCACTATATAGGGCAAGCTGTAATCAGCTCTGGCAACGGTAAAAGCAAAATGAGAAATGACACTTTTCAACTCAGCACAAAAAGATGGGAGAGAAAAGAACTGAAAGGGGGGGGGACACGGAGGGGAGAGGGATCCCAGGTTGCCGCCCCTGCAAGCACTTGCCCCCTTTGCCAGCGGGCACAGCTGTCACTTCAGACTAGGTTTGGGAAGGAGGAAGCCTCAGAGGCTCCCAGCTCCCCCATCTTCCTTCGCACTCTCTTTCCCTTGCTAACAATGTTGCTCTCACAAGCTTGCCTTTCCCCTGCTTGCACTTCTGCACAACTGTCCTCCTCTGATCTCGGGCTGGTGTATCGTAGCCTTCTGTGGAAAGCAAGCAAAGGCACCGGCCCCGCAATAAAAAATATATATCACACAACGGTAGCAGAATGACAGCCTCTTATTTTGCAGCGGCTGCTCTTTGCGGGCCCAGAGCTCTTCCTCCTGGCAACTCCGCAAATGGTGGCAGGCTGGCATCTTTCCGGGTCAAGCCAGGGTGGCTTGTGTTGTGTTGTAAGCAAAAAATCTGCCCTTTTCCCCTTATGGGGTATCCAAGAGCCAATATAGAGTCCTTACGTAGGTTCCCTATTGGTAGGAGAAAATAACAGAGGACAACCAGAGAATATTGAGGAGCAAAGCAGCTAGTAAGCTTGATCTTTATTGATCTGTTGCAACAGGGTCCTCACTCACCACACGCAGGAGGGAGGAGGAACCCAGAACAATGGCGCTCAAGGCCTTATATAGACATTTAAAATTCCCTGCCCTGGAGCTCAAGACCACCCCTCCAGACACATCATACCTACATCACAGAAAGGGGTGTTTACAGCAGAAATCTGAGTGGTTTGTTTACCTCCTGTCTGCCAGGTTACCTGTTTAATGGTCACTTGATTGGATTGCCTGAGGAGCCTGGACAGTCTTTTGTAATGATAAATACTTAGTTCCTGAGCCAGGTCACAGCCTCACACCCTATTCATATCTTAAGACAGGATTTGTGAAGGAAAAGACAGTGGGGAGGCTTTTCCATTTTTCTTTGACCTTGCAGAGGAAACATTTGCTCAGTTTGGGAATCAAAATGGTTTCAGGTAGGTCTTCCTGTGCTGATCTATGTACGTGCTTGGTTGGTACACTTATGAACATTTAACATATATCTAAGACTTCAAAATTCCTGTCACAGTTGGGATGTGAATACATCCAAGAAGGTGATATATTTATCCTTTTCCCCCCTCACGTTTGTAAATTCAGCAGAGTGCGATCCCTTTGTAGCTTAAATGGAAGCTCAGATAGGCCGGTTTTAGCCTAAGTAATCTAGGATGCTTTAAGGCAGACTGGCTTTTCCTGCTATTTCCCCTGTTTCTGCCCCTTTAAATAATTAAAAATAATAATTTACAAGAGTTTTGTAAAAGGTAAAAGTAACATTTACTCAGAATACTTGTAGAAGAGGAACAGGTGCAGCGGCTTTGTTCAGGCAGGCTTAAAATGGTAATTCAGTTACAAAGACAATCTTAAGTCTAGCTAAAATGTAGCACAGAGCTCAGACTTAGCAGATGTTCTCACACTGCTGGCAAAGCAGAAGAGGTAGGAAAATGAAGAGGTTGTGCCCTTGCAGGTGTAATAAATGAAAATCTGCCCTTTTTCCCTTATGGGGGACACAAGAGCCCTTACAGAGTCCTTTGTAGGTTCTCCATCGGTCGGAGAAAATAACAGAGGCCAACCAGAGAATTTTGAGAAGCAAAGCAGTTAGTAAGCCTGAGCTTTATTGAACTGTTGCAACAGGGTGTCCCCTTCACATGCAGGAGGAGGAGGAGGACCCAGAACCAAGGTGTGCCCGCCCTTATATAGACATTTTAAATTGCCAGCCCTGGAGTCCAAGCCCACCCCCCGAAACATCATACATACATCCCAGAAGGAGTGTAGCTCAAGACCACCCCCCAGACACATCATACCTACATCACAGAAAGGGCGGTCTACAACAGAAATCTGAGTGCGTTGTTTATCTCGTCTGACAGATTACCTGTTAATGCTTACTTGATTGGATACCCTGGGGAGCCTGGCCAGTCTTTTGTAATGGTAAATACTTAGTTCCTGAGCCAGGTCACAGGCTCACCCTATTCATACACAGACATACCCTTCAGACAGGATTCGTGAAGGAAAAGACAATGGGGAGGCTTTTCCATTTTCCTTGACCTTGCAGAGAAATCATTTGGTCAGTGTGGGAGTCAAAATGGTTTCAGGGCTGTTTTCCTGTGCTGCTTCAGACATGTGGTTAATATATTTATGTACGTGTTTGCTTGGTACATTTATTATATATATAAGACCTTAATTTTTTTATTTCACAGGTAAGAGAATATACAGCTATTCCCTCTCCTGATCAGGGCACAATGGGAGTGTCTCTTTCAGAGTTCTCTCTAGCAAACTTACAGGAAAACTCTGTGAACTTCACCTCCTATCATGTGCCTCTCTAGCAAAACATGAATTGTTGGCTTGACTGCACTTTAAATACCCCACACATCCTGTTTTTCTCAGAAGCAGCAGGGAATGGCAGCTGTGGCCTCATCTCTTTTCAGGATGTTGGGTTAGCGAGGTTCAACACCTCTGTGTTGTGAATGTAAGCCCAGCGTTTGGATCCAGGGCTGAATCAAGACCTTGGCAGCCCCTGAGTACCAAAAACACCACGGCATCTCCTTCCATATGTAATTCAAAATCAAAACAATACTAAACTGTGAAATTAAAATTTAAAAACCTCAGATTTGTTGCAATACATGACAGGATCCGATTTCCTTGCATTGGTTTGATCTGCATTAGTAGGACAACCCCTGGCTTGGAGGGCGAGAGATAATAAAGAGAGCAGAATAATGGGGGGGGGGATTGGGTAGAGTATGTTTGGCTAGGATAGGTAAGGAAGCCTTAAAAAGTTATGATTTTCCCCATAGTGGCTATTTAAATGCTTAAAAAATAATAATCAAAAGTCAATTTTTGAAAAAACCTCTCTCTTTTTTATGCCCCTGCTTTTCTGGTGGCCTCTGTACATGCTTAGCCTGCCTATTGGGCAATCCAGCCCTGCTAGGCTCAGTGGCCCAGGGCAGACGAAAGAGAAAGGGTCTCTTGGGTTTGTAACAGACTTATTGGTCCACTAGCTTTTTGCATGGCTGTTTCTTGAGAACTGTCCAAGCACCACTGGTAAGTTGCACAGGTGACCTGAGAAACCCCATTCACACAGAAGCCCTGGTTCACGTGGTATACTCTGAATGAAACATACCAAGACGCAGAGGCCACTGGCTTCAGCTTGAACCCATCCCCACAATGAGAGGTCCCAGGTTCTGACTATTTGCTGGCTTAATCTTTACCTTTTGCCCTCCACATGTAGGTCCTAGTCCTGACGAGGAATCCGAGCTCCCACAAGGTCCTAGTGCCTGTTAGCTATCTCTTCCCACTCCCACCTTAAGGCATTCCGAAGGCATTTGGAGCCGAGATCTGTAAGAATCGGCCTGCAATTTTGCAAAGTAGCTAAAGATTAATGGAATCTGGCGGGATAATGGCGCTATTCATATAAAGCATCATTTAATTTCATGGCACCAGACTGGCATGCGTAGATTTCTCACCCTCTTTGCTTTTGTTCCAAAGAGGGCCATTTGAAAAAATTCAACACTAGGTTTGACATTTATGGGTTAATAAATAGCAGCCGTATAATTCTGCATCCAGGTTGAATCCCACATAACTGTAATTATCAGTGAAATATGAGCACTATTTATAAGCAACCTGAGACTCTCTCCAAAATGATGTTTACTTTTGTTCCTGAAAAAGAATGGGAACGCCAGAATGTAGAGAGAGCAAATAGTGCCAATGAAAGTCAAATAATTTATCATCAGAAAATCGTCAAGCAATCAAATATACTAACAGTATGACGGTGATCTCCCAACATCACTTTCCTCCTAGCTCACTTAAATTCTAGGACTTTATTTGAAGAAGCTTTAGAAGTTGATGGGTGAGAGCCTGGCCTGCAGCTTCTAGTGTCCTTCCAGAGCCCTTCAGTTTATATAGCAAGTAAACTTTCAGGAATATGTTATATGACCTTTACTGCATTTAGCTTCACGAATCATCGAGAGGGTGGTCACATCTGCACAATGGATTAAGAGCCATTCACTTTCTCCCAGAGCTAGGAAATCTCCAGCAAAGTTTTTTCAGTCAAAACTAAAATGCACAATTTTTTGTAATTATTTTTTTTGGGGGGGGGGGAAACGACTAAATGGACATTGAACTGCAGCAGGGCTCTTGCATGTTTAATTGTTCCTTCCCTGACGAGTCACACCAAATAAAATCCATTTTCCTACCCAGCCATTAAAGGCAGAGGAGCTACACCTGGCTACCCTCGTCCTGTTACTCCCATTTTACAGATGGTAAGCTAAGGCTGGAAGACAGCAACTTGCCTCCAAGCACAATGTGCTAAATCAGTGACTCCTGGACTTTTTCGAGTGCCCCTGTGATGGATGACCTTTGTTCCGAAAAGTGTGGTCAAAATTAAAGGGTTCAAGAACTCAGACCAGACCAAATTTCATGAAATCATACACAGTCTTTACTAAAACAAAATTTAAAAATTCCTTCCAGTAGCACCTTAGAGACCAACTAAGTTTGTTATTGGTATGCGCTTTCGTGTGCATGCACACTTCTTCAGCTCATACCAATAACAAACTTAGTTGGTCTCTAAGGTGCTACTGGAAGGATTTTTTTTATTTTGTTTCGACTACAGCAGACCAACACGGCTACCTACCTGTAATGTTTACTAAAACAAAACTCTACAAGAGAGGAAAAACTCCAGATAATTACAGTGGTACGTCGGGTTACAGATGCTTCAGGTTACAGACTCTGCTAACCTAGAAATAGTACCTCAGGTTAAGAACTTTGCTTCAGGATGAGAACAGAAATCATGCTCCGGTGGCACAGTGGCAACAGGAGGCCCCATTAGCTAAAGGGGTGCTTTAGGTTAAGAACAGTTTCAGGTTAAGAACAGGCCTCCAGAATGAATTAAGTTCTTAACCCGAGGTACCACTGTACACACGTTAATATAGCTCAGAAGGTAAGACAACAACAAACACTAACTTATCCAGCTAGTTAACATAAACGCTTACATTTAAATCTCAGCAGGCTGTGCAAAGGAACAGGAAGCTGTCAAAAGCCCAAATAGATGCTGACCTTCTACCAATCCAGCTTTTATGGGAACTTAGACCATGGGCCTTCAAACACCTCTTCCACCCAGTTACCTTGTGACACTGGCCTTGAAGCCTTAACGGGAGACAATTGTCTGTGAGCTCATTGTTTCTGAGGTTCGAACCCATTCCCATAAACCAGCCTTAAAGAGGCGATATCAGCCCCCTCATAAATTCATCCCCAGTGCCCTATACCCCTAAAAGCATTATTCAGAATAGCAGTTTGCACAACCCACGAAGGAAGAGAACAGCGCAATGAAATTCAAAACAGTAACGATTAATTGCACATTTATTCAAAATCCAATTAAAACTATTCTGTTTAATTAATCCAACAAAACTGATGAACTGGATCCAGCGATACCAGCTTTTCAGATAGCCATTTACACTGCCAGCGCCCCCTGCCACCCCCTTGCCTCTTAGTGTACCCCTGTGTAATCCTACTATGTCCCAGGGGGCAGTACCTCCCACTTTGGGAACGACTCTTCTAAATAAACCATGATTCAATAACAGAGGGAAGGACAAAAGCAGGGTTGCCAGACCTCTAGGACTGACATGAAGTTTCCAGGTTTGACCCATTCCAATGACTTGAATCTCCAGATGGGTGAGTGTGGAGGAGAAGGAGAAGGAGGCTGTGCATGCAGCTTGCAAGCTATAGCCCAGCAGCAACTGGTTGCAAATTATAACATGGAGACCCTGGTGGATCTGCTCTCCTCTGCCCCCCTCCCAATTAACCTCCTTCTCCAAAGACCACTTCCATTGCATCACCAGGGGACACTCCTAGATCTCAGGTTTGGGCCCAGAAATCTCAGGGTCTGTGATGCTTCTGGCTGACCACACATGTTGGAAGTGGCATTTCAAAGTTCCCATCAACCTCTCGATCAACTTTCCTTTTATTAGGCATTGAATGAAGCCTATCCATTCTGCAATAGCTGCTTCGAAGCTCAGCATATTTTTGCTTTCACAGTTTCATTTTTGTGACTGCTTGTTGCTAGTGATAGTGTCTATAGAAAAATAAAATTCACACCTTTTCTGGTCTGGAAAGCTGGCTCCAAATCAAATTCACCTCCAGGTGAATTATGTCCAGCGATGGTTCCTAGAGCTTTAAGAAATTTGTGGTGAAGAGAGATAGAACTGGTGCTTCCAGTCCAAAGCCAGGAATCTGGGCACCCTCTGTCCTACCTAACAGCGGAGGGTGGCACTGCACAGAAATGAACGGGTATGTTCCAACCAGGCATGTTCCAGATGTTTTGCACTACAACTCCCATCATCCCCAGCCAGCACAATAGTCAGAATACAATGCAATAAACAACAGTGGCCAACCAGGTGCCCCAGTGGGGACAGAGGTGGTTAGTTTACAGGCCCAATTCAAAATGCTGGTTTTTACCTAAGTAAAGGTAAAGGTAAAGGAACCCCTGACCATTAGGTCCAGTCGTGGCCGACTCTGGGGTTGCGGTGCTCATCTCGCTTTATTGGCCGAGGGAGCCGGCGTACAGCCATGTGGCCAGCATGGTCATGTGGCCAGCATGACTAAGCCGCTTCTGGTGAACCAGAGCAGCACACGGAAACGCCGTTTACCTTCCCACTGGAGCGGTACCTATTTATCTACTTGCACTTTGACGTACTTTTGAACTGCTAGGTTGGCAAAATGCCTCAGGACTGCAGTACCTCAAGGACCTCCTCTCTCCATATGAACCTACCCAGACCCTGAGATAATCTTCTGAGGCCCTCCTTCATGTGCCTCCCTCACAAGATATATGGAGGGTGGCAACATGTGAAAGGGCCTTTTCTGCAGTGGCTCCCCGTTTGTGGAATGTTCTCCCCAGGGAGGTTCACCTGGCACCTTCCTTGTGCACCTTTAGGCATCAGGCAAAAATGTTCCCCTTTTAACCAGACCTTTGGCTGATAGACATCCAATGCCCATTTAAGTGTGTTGTGGGAGGGCAGTTATTGGTTGGTTTTTGTGCTTATTTTTATTATGTATCTTGCGTTTTTCATGTTGTGATTTTATGTTGTGAACCGCCCTGAGATCTACGGATGTAGGGTGGTATACCTGGCTGTAGCCATCAAGTAAATAAATAAATAAATACTTAACTAAAAATAGGGGGGGAAACTAGCTTATCAAACATCTTTGAATCTGCAAAGGCATAAAGGTAAAGGTAAAAAGGCAAAGGACCCCTGGACGGTTAAGTCCAGTCAAAGGCGACTATGGGGTTGCCACCCACAGCGCCACCCACATCCCTCCTGCAAAGGTATGGCACTCTGCTAACCTCACAAACATTAGGAAGGAGGGATAATAGCCAATAAATATATCCTCTCTAAGCATCTATTCACATCCCAAGGAACGTTGTATGGATGAGGAGGAATTAAAGGAAACACAAGGGGAAAGGGAAGCACAAGGGGCACATATTCATGTTAAGCCAAGGTGCACAAAGGCCTTGTGTGTCTCTCCTTGGCTATAGCACCCCCTACTGTTCGGCTCCTTGCCGTCCACCCTACCAGTTCCAAGAGGCACCAGGCACCCCTGACAGAAGTGCCCAGTGCCTTAAGCAGAGATAATACCACATTCTTGGAGCTATCCCTTTCTACACATCACTGCTGCTGCTGCCTGCATTGCACTTTCTCTCTCTCTCTCTCTCAAATTATTGTTTAGATCTCACTATAAATACATTGCCATATGTTAATCATGACAGTGGTGATTATGATTATTCTTGCTGCGCCTTTGCCTATCCCACTGTGTACAGCTCTTAAAAAAAAAAAAGATTCCCTTCCTCCTGACCTTTCTTGCTCAACTTCAATGAGGTGATATATCCGTTACGAAGATATATCTGTGCAGGTATTTTTTTTTTTCACCTCTCAATTTGTTTCCATTTAAAAATTAGCTAATTGCTAATGAAAGAAGAAGAATCGTTGACCTTTAAAAAGATAGTACCGAGGTATTGGCTTCAAACGTTAACTTTGGCGCAGGAGGATAGAGATGGGAAAAGAAAAGAAAGATTCCCTGCCTTGCTCTTGGTACTTCTGGGTTTCTTTGACAGAATAGCCGTGGCGCTTGATGGATGCTGGAGCACTTTGCAGCTTCACTCAGACGCTCTCAGGGCAGTGAGTGGAGTTGGGGGAGCAGGTGGGAAGTGCCTTGGTCCAAACCTGGGAACCAGCAGTTCCCTTTCCTTCTGTGCAACAGATGTCTTGGGAGACCCCGGAGACAGAAGTTGCTTGGCTCTGCGCAAGCATCGTTTTCACCCGCTGTAAAATGGGGTCTTTGCGAAAGAGGCTGCCAAGTCGGAATGCATTTCTTGTGAAAGTTCTGGGGAAGAATGGATTTTAAAATACCATAATGAAAAGTTACAGGGAAGTAACTCAGGCCACATTGACACTGTGCATTTATATACCTTCCAACATGATGCGGAGGAAAATTTGGACGCACATCTTTCGGGGCCACGCCCCCACTTTTCTTTCTAGTTGGAATTGTCTGAATTTCTGCCTTCAGAAATTCTAAAAACTCCCATCAATCACTCTTCTCAAGGAACTCTGAATCATAGCTTTGGGAAGAGAATAGGAAGCCCTCTTATAGTCTTCTTGTCCAGGAGGGTCCAATAGTCAGTTTGGGTGGATGGTGTTAGGCCAAAAATTTAGCTGCCAACTTAATATTTGGTTCACTACAGGGGTGAGCTTCACACATAATTGCAACCACTCCTGATAAGCTGCCTGGGCTGAGGGGCAATATGAGGCTGTTGGCATCCATCTGTCTTGTGCCTCTGGGGTGAAGTCAAACCACTACATTAGCAGCACCAAAGTGACTACCCCAGGGTGCAAGCCTGGGTAGTGTGTCTGGAGGTCCTGGGCTGCCCAGACATACAAAACCCCTCTCTCGGCCTCGCTGATGGGGTCCAAAGGAAGGTAGAGCTGGGCTGCAGGAGTTGCCAGAAGGAGGCGTACAAGGCGCCATCCAACCGCCTTAGGGAATCCACTCCAGATTTGGGTAGGGTTTACTCCTGAGTCTTTTCTTCTCCCAAATTTGTCCTGCAAGGAAGTGGAAGTTTAGGATCAGAATAGTCCTTCTCCTAGATGGGCTCCCTTCCCAGGTGGACTAGCCCCGTCTGCCCCTCACTTCACCAAGTGCAGAAACTGCCTTCTCGACCCTTGGACCCACTATTGGTCAGAAGCCACCTAGAGTGCTTGTGGCAACCCAGTCAGATAGGTACCTTGGAAGTCGAACGGAATCCGTTCCAGAAGTCCGTTCGACTTCCAAAACATTTGAAAACCAAAGCGTGACTTCTGATTGGCTGCAGGAAGCTCCTGCAGCCAATCAGAAGCTGAGGAAGCCCCACGTTCGGCTTCCAAAAGTCATTCGAAAACCAGAACACTCACTTCCATGTTTTGATTGTTCAGGAGCCGATTTGTTCAGGAGCCAAGGCATTTGAGATCCAAGGTATGACTGTATTATTATCATTATCTTTATCATTATCATCATTATCATTATTATTATTATTAAATAAAACACATTAAAGAAAGAGC